GTGTGTGTGTGTGTGTGTGTGGCCAGCTCAGCCCACCAGGGGGCGGGGCTGGCTCGCATGTGGTGCTGGGGGATTGAACCGCGGTCCCTGATGCTTTGCTAAGCTTGTTCTAAGTAGGTGCCTTAGACCACTGAGCCATCTCTCCAGCCCGCAGGCTGCTAATTATTTACATTACCAGGGAATTTTCTCTCTTGACGTTCTCTGAATATTTTTACACTAGGACTATGGTACACTCAAGGGAATTAATGTTTTGCCATAATGTTGTAGGTACAGTGAACTCATTTAAAACTCCCTTCGATAAGGAAGAAGAGAAAGAACAAAAATAAAAATCAGGGTTCATTAAGGATCTAGATAGACGGGAGACAGTGTTAGGAACTACTTATATATTATCTCATTTAATTTTCACATCACAGCCAATGAATGGGTATTGTTATCCCCATTTTATAGATAAAGAGCCAGACACCTACAAGCTGTTCTGTGACTTTCTACCATCTTCCAGTTTATAAGTACTAGTGCTGGAATTCACCTGTAAGTTTTCTGGTTATAAAATACTTAATTCATCAATGAGCATTGGAATTATCGTTGCAAGATCCTACCAAATGCCAGCTCCACAAGTAAAATACCTAGGTTCAAATTTCTAAATCTACTAAACCTGAAACTCTGTCCATACTTAGATTTCCTAATAACTGAGTAAAAAATTATAGTTTTTTTTTTTTTTTTTTTTTTTTTTTTTTTTTGAGACCGGGTCTTGCTCTGCACTTCAGGCTGGTCTCAAGCTCACGACACATCCCTGCCTCAGCCTCCCGAGTGCTGGCATTACGTGCATGTGCCACCAAGCCTGGCTCTTGTAGTTGTTTTTAAGTAAATAACTTTGAGAATTTCTGGTCACTTGCTTAAGAAACTGGTTTCATTTCATCTTTCATAAAATAGCTGCTGTTTATGAGAACATCCAAACAATCACATACAAAACCCATAGGAAGGAATGAGAATAAAAAATATGCTTATATACCAGGACAACCAAAATGCTACAGATTTAAAGATATTCTAACTCTGTTTTAATAAAAGTGATGTCCTAACTATTAGAATGGAATAGAACAAGCTGGGAGGACCCAGGAGTCAGGACCTCCCTCCAGGGTCCCCAGCAGGCTCTTTGCGGCCTGTGTACCTTCCCCCACAGCTGCAGGCTAAGTCAGTTCTGGTCTCACAGCCCAGTGTCTTCATTTCTAAACTTCAGATGAATACAAGTTGCCCTCTCTATTGGCAGGCTTACTGAGAGCCTCAAATAAGATGAAGTGCTTTACGAAGTTAAGGTGGAGTAGGTTTTATTCACCTACTGCATTTGGAAAAAGGTTGTTGATATGGATCCCTTATTCTTAGGGTCCAAACTTTTCTCCTTTGAGCCTGCTAGACTGCTAGTTCTGCACAATGTTAACAGCTACTCTACAAGGTTTTGGATTCTCTGCTCTCTTTAAAAATAGGTAATTTGGGGGCCAAATAGATCACAAGATTAAAGTGCCTGCAAGCAGGTGCAGGGGCCGGGGGTTTGATCCCTGGGCCTGCTGTGCCAGCCCCATCCCCGGGGCATGCTGAGATCCTGGGGCACAATTGAGACTGGGCATGGAGGTGCACACCTGCACTCCCAGTTCTAGGGAGGCTGTAAATGGGCATATCACTATGTGTCTGATCTAGTAGTGAGACCCTGAACACCCTGTAGACCCTTCCCTAAAAAAAAAAAAAAAAAAAAAAAAAAAGATAATTTCAATTCTAGCTGTGACGATCATCCTGGACTCTTCTACATCATGATTACCCTGGACTCTTCTACATCATGTCATCTTTGAATACATTAAATACATTAGGAAGTAATCCTACCAATGTAATGATTTCTGCATCTGGAACACTATCATCTCAAAAATAGCAGCTAGCACAAATTGGGTTCTATCTGTGTGTCAGGTGCTTTCTATTAACTCATGTGAACTTCACCAAATGAAGAAGAAACTGTCATTAGCCCCATTCTTCAGATGAGAAAACTGAGGTTTGGAGAGTTCAAGTGAACTTCCCAAAGTCAGATGTTTAGAAAATGTGGAGATGGCATTATTACCAGAAAGTCCAAGTTCTGGCACTGAGCAACTGCAGTGCCCATGTCTCCTCGACCTGTGGCAGATTGTGCCACGGCAAGAGCATGAGTCGAGGGCCAGGATGTCCCTCTGTGGATGCCTCTCACCTGTCAGATGAAGCTTTGGACCAGAGAACGTCTGCAAAACCTCTTAGTGTGTGAATCAGGCTCCCCAGGGTAGGGTCGGCTGCGGGGCTCTGGCCTTCGCCCTCGTGTCCCTGACCGAGTCCCTGGTCACCAGCCAGGGCTCCCAAGGAGCTGCGTCCTCATCACTGAGTACTGTTGAGCTCAGCGGGTGCCCCCTGCTCGGTCGACCCCCAGGAGCTTTGCAGCCCCAGCACCTACCGATATAAGCGGCTCCATCTGTCACCATGTACTTGTTGCGGTTTAATTTAGGAAAGGTGAGATTCTTTTGTTCTTTTGTTGCACAAGCATTCTCTCTTTCCAGATCGAAAAATTTCTGTAGGAAAAATAAAAGACAAAGAAAGAAAAAAAGCAGGTGAATAAAGAATGGATTGGTTGTGCTCAAGAGCTCAAAGGAGTGTATTACCCAAACAACCGCAATAGGCTTCATGCTGGGTTATTAAAACCACACTGTAGTTACTTCGTATGGCGGAAGCTAATTTTGTTCTCAAATCCATATGAGCAATGAGAAAGAACATTAGCATGCTCAACTAGGCTCATAATTAACATTTTTAAGCTACAAAATGAGCAGAAAATTCATCCTGTCGACAGGGCGAGGGCCAGAAGGTTGTTTAATTCTCACTGTCTTGCTCCTCAGGGTGCAGCGACTTTGCAGCCTGCCTCAGGGAGCTTCCCGTCAAATGCGCCAAGGAGCTGAATGAATATTCTTGTGTGACTCACACTTTATGACAATGATTCCATTGGGGACTCTGCAAAGGTCCAAAGAGATTTTGCCACAGGAACCAATATTTCCCACCCAAACACCTAAGTCTTCATGCTTTTACAGGAGGTAACTCTGAAGAAAAATTGTAACTTCAAGTCATGAATCTGAATTGACCCCCAAGACAGCATTCAGTCCCCCCAAAGCCAAAGCCAGAATCAGTAGGAGCATGTGGCCTGAGCTGGGGTGGGGCCTGGGTTGGGCGAGGGTGCCAGGAGTGGCCTGCAGCCTAGGCTGTGACTGAGCTCATGGGACACCGGTGGCCCAGCTCACGTAGGACATTGGTCCCAAGTGGCGGTCGCAGGTCTCTGAGTTGGGAAAGGAACATTTTCAGACTTGCATGGAAACTTTCTCCAATGTCTCCTGGCTACTGAAGGAAAGAAGAGGCGGAGACAAACAGGAGGTGAACAGCTGGAAGAGAAGATGCCACTGATCGTTTCAGGCCTGCTTGTGTCCACAGTGGGCTTGGGGGAACCACGAGAGTGGCTCTTTCCCTGTGCCCCAGGGAGGGAAAGGTGGGAAAGGTATCGTCACCTGTTCACTAGGTGATCACTACCCCTTGAAAATTCTGGGCAGGTTTTTTGTAGAATGCCTGAGAGCCACGGTGCACAGATGGAATCTACCACCCAAGAACTGCATTCTGCAGCACGGGGGCTCTCTCTCCCCCATAGTTATAGCAGTGCTCCCTGGTCCCCCTCATTTCCTCATTATGGCCTTCTGCAGATCTGCATCTCCAATGAGACTTAACAAGTGTGCGCTGTCTGGTTAAGGTCAGCTATTAGTTGCTAGGCAGCCTTGTGTCACGTGTTACTAACTTTGCAAAAATGGACAATTTTGTTGTGGAAAAAATATATGCATACACAAGATAGTTAGGATAGATATACAGCTACTTTCTCTTAGTTCATTGAGAAGAAAGGTTTGTACTAATATTGTTTAGACAAGATATCATGTCTGCATCTTGTACTATGAATTAACTACTATGAAGACAACAATATGCAATGAATTAATTATTATAACTTCTATTAACCTATTTTGAAGCTGTTTCATTGCTATTTTATCTTTTTTTCTCATTAACATGAATAAAAAAAAAAGGCTAGCATTGTAGTTCTAAAAAACAAAGTGTGTGCTCTGGAGTCACAGCTGTGCATTCTTGACACCCACGAGGATGGACAGTGTCACTGGTGGCTAATGGCCAGTGCTCAGCTCACATAGATGTTTCATTATGAACTTGGTGACAACACTGCTCTGCCTCCTGCGGAGAAGGCTCTTATTCTAGAATGGGGGTGGATTTGCAAAGAGATAAAGTATACATCCTAAGCTAAGTCAACGATGGAGTCACAGCTTGAGACTCTTAGCGAGAACCCCTGTTGCTTGACAAAGTCAGTATGATGGCCCTGAAGAAGTAGGAGACAACAGGATAGCAGAAATCGGGCCTTACCAACATTATTAGGTACCTCTATATGCTGTAGGAGGACAGCAAAGCCATTCACAAAAGGATTGGTTCATTTAGTAAAAAATAACTCAGGCTCCTGGAATAATCTTGTGAGTTGCAGTCTCTTTCCATAAACTCTTTGTGGATGCAAAGCCACATCAGGGTGGGGGTGTGGGTGGGGGCGGGGAGGGGCGGGGCTGCCTGTTCACCAGGACACAGTGCCCTGCCTGGTTCCCAGCTGCTTGCTTTCTGAGTGTTCCGCATCTCCTGAAGATGGGCCACCAGAGGGTCCAGTGTCGACTCTCCTGCGGAGCTTCTCAGCCCTCGGGCTCTAGAGGTCGAGGTTGGAAGCTTCTTTTCCACCCAGGCTTCTCACAGCCTCTGTTCCATAAAATGGCCAGCAGCAAGTGAGGGACCTTTCGTGGATTTGAGCAGTGCCCATCTGTGCCAAAACCACGAAGCTGGGGATGCGCTGGAGAGATTAAAACAGTCGGGGGAGTCCAGTACCCTGAGATTTCTTTCTTGAAAGTCTTCAGTGAGAACACTCAGTGTGTCACTTCTGGGCAGATTCAGTGGCAGTGTGTGCAGGGTGGCAGGGGTCCCCACTTGGCCTGAAGGAAGCCAAGACAGCGAGAGAGGCAAAGGCAAAACTCAGCGTGCCAGGCGCTCTCCAGCCCACCCCTGCTAGGCCTCCTAAGCGTGACAGTGGGACGTCCTGCTGACCCACGCTGAGCTCCAGTGGGGTGGCTTCCCTGGGCAGCACAGGCCTGCAGAGAGGACTAGCCACACCTTGGTCATGGGTGTTGTCCTCAGCATGGCTCTGTCCCTGGTGTGTTGGGCCTTTGCTGTCTCTCTACCTGTGGTAGTACCCTTCCTTGACTTCATTCATTCTGCATCTGCCCTCTCCACACAGGTTTGAACACCTCGCCAGGTATCACACTGGGTGCTAGGAATACCACAGGGCTTAGTCATCTGTTCTTTGTCTCAAAACATTATCCTGGAGCCCTGCATATCACCTCAATTATCCAGAAAAGGTGCTCTTGGAGCTGAAAAAGTCCCAGATATTTTCTTGTCTGTGAAAAAGCATTACACACAATCGAGCCCCATCCTCCAGTGTCTTCGCCTGGCTTCCTGGGGCTCCAGCACCTTGGAACGCCTGTTGTCTGATCTCCCAGGTCTGATTCTAAACCCAGTTATTCCATTTACAGGTCCAGCGCTAAGTTGTTGCACTTGCTGGATTTGCAAAGCTGTCTTTGAAAGCCCACGGCCCTGGTGATAGGCACAGATTTGTTTCTATTCCTAATCCTTGCACTGATTTATGAACGCACAGGCATCGGTACGACTGCCTTACAAAGACCAGTTGAATAAAGAGTTGGGCCGAGACTAGATAAAGCTTCCCATTTCCTTTTTTACTGAGAGGGGAGGTTGAGGATTATCTATGTGGGAAGAGAATGTACTGGATAGCCGTGTCTAGGGTTTCAGACCATGATGACACTCAAACGTGTTCCTTTGTCCCCCGGGGACACTCATTAGTCTGTTGTGTGGCCATGAGAATGATGCTGGGCACTGCAACAAAGGCAAAAGCAAGTTCACCAGCTCTAGCTGCTCACTCGTGTTTGGCCTTAGGATACTGGCGACCAGTGCATTCCCAGATGACATGTTAAGACTGACACTTCCGTCTTTGCCATCTTATGCTCCCTAAGTGCTGCAAGAAACATGGCCCATCTTTGAGCATAGGGCCCGCCAGCCAGCAGGGTGCCTGTGATCGACTGTGCAGTGGGCTGGGAAGAGCTGCGAGCTAAAGGGTCCATGGCCATTAGGCAGGGGAAGCACAGAGAAGATGTCGCAGGCGGAGAGGGGGGCAGGTACCAAGGCCCTGGGGTGGCTGGAGGACGGTCCAAGGTGAGCTGGAGAGTTAGCGCCTCGTGAGCCCACCAGTTCCCTATTTTGCTTCCCCCAGGAATTCAGGATGAGGGTGTGGCCCAGGGGACCTGGAATGAGTGCAGGACCCCAGGCTAAGGGGACACTGGGACTGAGGGACTCTGTGCCAGTTTCCAGTGTTGGGTTCCTTCTGACAAGAAGAGCAGGGGAATAAAGCAGTTCAAGGAAAATGGAGAGGCTGCAGCAGCCTGCGTGATTGACGAGGGCTAGGTGGAGGAACCTGGGTCTACCTTCCTTTTTATGGGAGTGATTGCTTTGGACAATACCTTGTCCTGCCTTTTGAAGGAGTTCTCACTACCATAGCTCGCCCCTGATGCTTACTGAAGCTTAGGCGTGTGTGTGTGTTTCCGGCACTCGGACATGCCCAGCGAGTGAACTTGGTCTCACGCACAGGCGGGCAGTACTTACAACTTTCAAGCTGCAGTTGGCTATTTCTGTGCAGATCGCTTTGAGAGAGGAAATGAAGTTGAACGTGAGGGGGTCGGTTTCCTTCCAGAAGCTTATCAGGAGCCGCACCCTAACGCTGCGCAAAACCAGCGCTTCTCTTATTTTCCCATCTAGGTCTGGCCAGTAGGTCCTGTGGAAGCAAGAGCCACTTAGATTCAGAATAAAGAACAAAGGTGGTTCCAGGAAAGAAATCTGTTAGATGACACAGCGTGTTTATCTTAGGCTGCTCGAGACTTTTTTCTGTAATATGTAAATAACCTTAAAGGATTGGCTGAAAATAAAAGCAAGACTTTGGGGTTGTGTACCAAGAAATGAACTTTCCTGAAACCTGGGTCTGCCTAAAAGGAGGTCTGCGGCCACCAGGGCCTAGCAGGGTGGGCCAGGGAGCAGACAAACTGGCTGTGGTCATGGGCCTTTCTTTCTGCACTCTTGGGCTGGATGGGCCTGAGCATGTGCTTGTGCACACATGCACGTGCGCGTGCACACACACACACACACACACACACACCCCACACACTCCACAAATCAACTTGAAAAAAAAAAAAAATCCCAGCTGGAAACCCTGAGCTCTCTGTCAGTTCCCAGGTGCCACTACTACCTCCTTTCTTAAAACTCCCCAGATGAACTTCTGCTCTGGTTATCTGAACTTTCCCACTCTTACTTCCAGGCTGTCCTCAGCAAAATCTTTCCTGACCACCCCCCACCCTCACCCGCCTTCCCTACCACCTGATCTGGGCTGTACACATAGGCTCCTCCCTCAGAGCTTCTGTGACCTCTTCCATGGATCCAGGGCTTTTGCCTTACCTACACTGTGAGCTTCCCAAAGGCCGTAGCTTCTCTTAAAGTCTCACCATAAAATCTACTGCTACTTGGCCTCTTGGTTTGAGAAGTGGGGGCAGCCTCCTGCTCCCTGCCACACATAGTGTTGCTCCCAGAACCGTCTCCTAGCCCTCATGCTAAATCAAAAAGACCTTTCCCTGTCTCAAGGACTGTGTGTTAAATCCCTCTTCCTCCCCTCAACCCTGAATTTGTAGGACTTCTACTGATTCCAATCTTGGCCTAATTCTGGGCCCTCTACTGTTGACACACATGACACACTGACCAACATCTTAGCCAGCAGTGTCATAATCACTGCACCCCCAAAGGCCTGTCTCCTTCCTGTACTTGCGGTGGCTTCCTGCTCTCTAGGTCCCAACTGTCTTAGTCACCCTGAGCCTGCTGGTTCACCCCATGAGACTATGGATCTGCGGACCCTTCCAGTGTACCTGGTCCTTGGTCTCCCCTTGCTCTTGCCCAGTTCCAGTTCTGATCACCTGCAGGGAGGACGCTTGCCCTGTGTTCTGCCTTTTTCTTCTCCCTTATAGCAGAATCTAAGTTTTGGCATGTTAGAGTTCTCTTTGTCTATTTCTATGCCCACAAAGCTGAGACTTAGAATGATCGTCTCAGCCTTGTTCTCTGAACTGGTGTCTTCCTCCACTCTCCCCATCAAGTACATCCTCCAGGGACACCAATGTGATCCATCTACAGCAGATCCAGTTGGGTGAGTCCCTTTGATGGAAGTAGGCAGAGGCTGCCAAAGTCACTAGACTTCCCAGGAGCCAGCCCCAAGGTCCTGGGCCACCCTCTCTCCAATTTGATTACTCACCACCCTACTCCGGGCTATTTGAGCTGGCCCAGAACTTGTCAAACTTTTTTCTCTATCTGAAACATTGCTCAAACTGTCCTTTTCACCTGAAGAAACTCCCTTCTTAACTCTTTTATGATCATATCATGAATAGTTGAAAATGTAACCGAGATAGTGTCTCTTCCAACAAGCTTCCTCTGGCCCTGGACTGCTCTGGGTCTTTTCACGTGCATCTCCGATATTCTGTACATAAGCCTATTACCTCCTTCACACCACTGTGTCCTGATAATCTAGTCTGGGCCCACCTGCGCCTATCAGATGGATCATAAACTATTGATGCCACCATTCTAAGTGCACATGCTCAACATATATTTGTTGAATGAATATATAAATGAAAGATATTAATATAAACAGTCCTTTCTTATCCCTGGAAAATACATTCCAAGACCAAGTGAATGCTGGAAACTGCATGTAGCCCTGCACCTTATTTTTCTTACACACACACACACACACACACACACACATACACACACACCTATGTTAAGGGTTGGAGTTGATAGATTAGGAGTAACAAGAGATGAACAATAGTAGCTAATCATAAAAAAGAAAAATTATAACAATAGACTCATAACTAATAAAAGTCATTTAAAACTTACAAAGTGCTTCTGTAAATTCCCATTTAGTAGTTTTAAGCTGCAGCTGACCTGCAGATAACTGAAATCCCAGAAGGCAAACCTGCAGATCAGGGGAGATGACCAAACCTCAGACTATTCAGCCTGTGTTTACTGGGCCTCCATACATCTACTGGCTTCCTTCTGAAAGACACGTTTCATGGGGCTGAAGAAGCACATCGTGAACACCCCCAAACTATTCTAAATAACTAAGTGGATTGCTTAAAAAAAGAGCTTGATTGCTGCGGCATAAGGAGTTGCTGGGGCTTCTGCGCTCTAATTGCAGGATTGGTTCAGATACCCTATTCACTTTGAAATACCCAGAGAACTTGAAATTCTAAGACTACCAGTAATGATGGAGTATTTGCTTGAACAGCGTGTCAATCACTTCTCATTTGGGAGTGTGTGGCTGTTTTTCTCTTTCATTTATATATTTGGCAGTAGACAAAACATTAAATCTCTAAGATATATATCAATTCCATGAACACACAAAAATGTGATAGTATTGGGGCTGGGGAGATAGCTTGGCAGCCTAAGCACCTGCCTGGCAAGCACAAGGTCCCACGTTTAATCCCTGGTACTGCATGCTGTGCTGGCCCCAGAACTGGGGAGGCTGAGACAGGAGTGGCATAGTGAGGCCCTGTGCCAAATAAATAAATAAGATTATAAAAATGTAGTA